ACTGGAGAGCATTATGCTAAGTGATATAAGCCAGTCAGTGAAAGACAAATACCATATCATCTCACCTTTAACAGGAACCTAATTGACAAAATGGACAAGCAAGCAAAGTATATCCAAAGACATTGAAATTGAGAACAGGCTGACAGTGACGAGAAGGGAGAGAGGAGGGGATAAAGGGGTAAAAGAATGAAGGGTTTACAGGAACAATTATAAAGGACATATGGACAACAACAAGGGGGGTGGAAATGGGGGTGGGTGGTGGGGGGGCCTGGGTTGGTGGGAAGGGGTGGGAGAAAAAACAGAAAACTGTACTTGAAAAACAATAAAAAAATGTAATAATAAAAAGGGAAAAAAAACAAATTCATTTATCAAATAAAAAAAGGAAGTCTTCGCAATAATGTTCAAAAAGGGGAACCCTCTTTCACTGCTTGTGGGAATGTAAGTTAAAGGAGCTGCTATGTAAATCAGTAAGGCAGTTCCTCAAAAAACTGAAAATAGAGATGCCCTAAGATCCAGCAATTGCACTTCTGGGTATTTATTTGGAGGAAATGAAAACACTAACTTAAAAAGCCCTGGCCACCCCTATGTTCACTGCAGAATCATTTACAATAACCAAGATGGGGAAGCAACATCAGTGTCTATTGATAAATGAAGGGATGAAGAAAATGTGGTGTATGTACAATGGAATATGATGTGCCATAATGCTAAGTGAATGAACATGACAGAGAAAAACAAATACTGTACAATCTCACTTGTATGTGGAAACTTAAAAAAAATCAAACTCATAGATAGAATAGGTAGGTGATTCCCAGAGAAGGAAAATGGGTGCAAAATAAAAGGACAATCCTCACAATGGGAGAACATATTTACCAATATACCTGATAAGAGGTTAATATCCAATATTTAAAAAGAAATTACAAACCTCAACACACACACACACACACACACACACACACACACATACACACAAAGAAAAATAGGCAAAGGACCTAAATAGACAATTCTCCAAAGAGGACATACTGATGGTCAGTACACAAATGACAAGATGCTCAACATCACTAAACATCAGAGAAATACAAATTAAAACCACAATGAGATATCATCTGACACATGCCACAATGGCTATCATCAATCAATCAACCAACAATGAGTGTTGCAAGAATGTAGAAAAGGGGAACACTTTTGCACTCTGGGTGGGAATGCAGATTGGTGCAGCCACTGTGGAAAGCAGTATGAAGATACCTTAAAAAATTAAAAATGGATCTACCATCTGACTCAGCCATCCGACTTCTGGGAATATACCTGAAGGGACCCAAAACACTAATTTGAAAGAACATAAGCACCCCTATGTTCATTGCAGCATTATTTACAATCACCAAGATATGGAAGCAGTCTGAGTGTCCATTTGTAGATGAATGGGTAAAACAATGATGGGGCATTTACACAATGGAATACTAAACAGTCACAAAAAGAAGAAAAATTTACCATTTGCAACAATATGGATAGCCCTTGAGAGCATTATACTTAGTGAAATATGTCAGTGACTGGAAAAAATACCATATTATTTCATTTATATGTGGAATCTAGTGAACAAACTGAACTACCAACCCAAACAGAGACAGACTCATGGATGGAGAACAAATGACAGCTGGTGTTGGGGGGAGGTACAGGATCGAGGGATTGAGCAAAAAGCAAAAAGGACTCATGGACAAGAGTGTGGTGATTGTGAAGGTAAGGGTGACTACAAGGGGACTAATTGATAATGAAAATACAATAAAACATATAAAATAAAAAATTAAACTCACAGATAGCAAGAACAGATGGGTGGTAGGCAGAAGTAAATGTGGGTAGGGAAAAATGCGTGAGGTGGTCAAAATACAAACTTTCAGTCCTAATACAACTAAGTCATGGGGACATCAGGAAGAGCATGGTGACTGTAGTTAATAAGAGTGGGTATTAGTACTATTAACTATAATGATGCAGTTAATAATTTGTATGATTGAAAATTGCTAAGAAAGAAAATTGTTAAAAGCTCTCTTTACAAGAGAAAAGGTGTGGAATTCTATGTGGTGATGGATGCTAACATGAGATATTGTGGTGAACACCTGGAGATACATACATATATTAAATCATTAAGTTTATGTCTGGGTCAAGTCCCTATGCCCTCCCTGCTCTGGGTCCCACACACCCCATCCCCCACATCCTCTTCCAAGCCCACCCCAGTGAGGACCTGTCACATCCCAGAGAGTTAGGATGTCCCTGTGTCCACATCTGGGCACCCCTCACACTTGGGAACAATTCATGGTCTTGGGGGCACAGAGGAGAGAGGGTGCCCTGGCCCTTTACTTACAGATTTGACTCTGTTCTGTGTAGTCACTGGAGCCACCAGGTGATGATGGCTCTTTCTCAGAAGCAGCAGCATAAACAAGAGCTGAGTTGACCTGGGGGTCCCAAGTAGAGATGGTGCAAGAATGCAGAAGCCCTTCTGCATCATGACATGTGTGTTGGTGGAGACTGATTGAGGGTAAATCTTACCAGTAAAAGGTGAATGTCATCTTCCCTCACCAGATCCCTGTGCCCAGATCCCAGGGTCCCCAGCATGTGGATACCAGGTATCTGAGTCAGCACTAGGGAGGAGACAGAGATACCACTCAAAAATGTATGACACCAGGAGGTCCTTCTCTTTAACTCTGCCCTCTGGCTGATGATTCTCTGACCCTACCTGTCCCATCCAAGGAGTACATTTTCCATTTTTGACAGGATGTCCTAAGCAGTGTTCTCCTCCTGAAGGAGCAATGTTCTGCTCTCCACACCCTGACATCTCTGTTTGTCAGAGAACAATCACAGGTGGAGGTCCCCAAGGAGGTGGAGTAGTCCCAAGGTTATTGATCATCTCCTTCAGGTACTGACCTGGTCTGTTTGGGCACAGGATGATCATGATACATTTGGTTTTTTCCTTCAACCAGGAGGTGTGCACTCAACAGTAAACACACTGATTACAGGATGAGAGAAGGTCCAAGCACAAGAATACACAGGCACTTTGTCCTCACTTTGTCCCCAATCCTCACACCTGCAGCTTCTGCCCTGATGCTTCTCTAAGTTGTTCCCCAATAAAGAGGAAGGACAGTGGCCCACAGCCCTCTTATCCCAACATGCACAGCAGAGGCAGCAGCACCAGCATGTCCATGGGCGGCCATGTACAGGACCCTTGAGGTCTCAGGGTTACTCCCTGTTCTCTGGGAAGCAGTAGATGTGTATCAACAGTGCTTTCTGGAGGGTTTTCTCCAAAACCTGCCCTCCCTCTGAAGATTTCCTTCTCGCCAGGGACAAATAGGAAGGGAAAGGTGGAGCTCTTCTCACTGTAGGTCTGGTGACACCCTGTCAGGAGGGCCCCTTTGCATCCCACTACCCACTCATGTCACCTGTACCAAGTGTTCATCACCATCCCCTTCAGAGAGACGATGGAGGGCCACCTCTTTCTGCTCTCTTGGAATTCTAAGAACAGCTCTGGGAGCAGTAAGATCTGGGAACCGGGACCTACCAGAATCCAAATCTTCTTTTTCTCTGTCTCTGTCCTGGTCCTAAGACCAGGTCTGGTCACACAAGAAGCCTCAAGAAGGCATGACGGAACTCATACTCATGATGAGGGGCCCCTCAACGCTCAGAAGCTCAAAGTGAAAATGGTGGCCCTGACTCCAGCCCCACAGATGAGGGTTCCTCTGGTGGGTCTCTGCTGTCAGCTTGAAGTTGGAAAGTCACTGGACTCATGTGTGGCTGGGAGCTCATTCACAGGGTTCCCAGGACCCTGTACTCTCACCCTCTAACTTCTCTACAGTTCCTCCAGACAGAAAAGGCCTCCCATCTTTGTGGAAATATTGCATCTCCCTCTTCTTTCCCCACCTCCACTTCCTCTGACCTTGCCTGGCTTGCTCTGCCCTCCATGATAACATTCTCCCTGCTGTGGTCCACTGATGTCACAGAATTCTTTCCCCAATCTGAATGTTTACTCTTCATGTAGAATGAACTGAAACTTAGAATTTATTTGAGTCACCTGTCAGCTCCAGAAAGAACATATCTACCAGACTTCTAATTCTTCAATTATTCATTTGAGCTGAATTGGGACTGGGCATACTGCCAGGCCCAGAAAAGACTCACAGATCCTATTTTCTGTTGTGCAGAGCTCTGTGTAAGTACAATGAAGGGATTAAAAGCTACAGAAAATACCAACCACTCTTGTGAGGAAAAGAAGGAAGGAATGGGAAGAGTCTGACCCAGACGGTTTTCTGGATGAGGTGACAGTAGATTCAGCCCTGACAGGCAAAGAACCCAGTGTCCTCTGAGAAATGCAGTGTCTCTGAAATTAAGGCTCCTGTACCCAAGGATGAGGACGTGTCCAAGGGGAGACTGAGGAGGGTTTGGGTGCACCTCTGTTCTGTAGGATAGAAGGCCAACGGCCCTCATTCTCCAGCCTTACCCCACATGAGGCAGGTCAAGGCTCTGCCTCCAGGGGTCGCACCATCCTCCATGCTAGACCTGAGGGCTCCTCCAGGAAAAGTTGGCATTGTCCGTGGTTCTGGAGCACAGCTGGGATAGCTCTGCCAAGGAATTCAGCCCACAGGCACAAGGGCCTGAGCTTTAGGTAAGCAGGGCACCTAGGATACAGGGGCTTCAGCAAGGCAGGGTTCTTCTTGGGAAGGAGGGGTCAGGAGAAGGCGTGACAGTGGGCTGGGTTCATGTCTGTGCTTTTCCTCTCATCCCTCTGATTTGTCATCATGCTGTTTAATGTTATTCTTCCTTGAAATTTTTCCACAAAAGGCAACCATGGGAACAAAAATATTTCAGGTTTCAAATAGTTTTCTATGTATTGGTTGTGAAAAAAATATATATAGTTCATGTTGTATAAACCTTACATATTTATTATAGCTTATATTATATAAATGTCTTATAAATATTATAATGAACATATAACTAATTATTACAATGAGTAATATACTGTACTTTTTCATATTGTATTTTATATATTATAGTACAATATTATACATTTATAAATATGAGAAATACATAATATGGTACCTTATTAAAATAGTTTACATTACACAAGCATATAAGTTACACTATGGGATCATATCTCAAGTCAAGAATTAAACAGGAAGGTTCCCCAGGAGCCTCAGAATTTCTCTTCATTCCCCTTTCTCTCCAAGCCCCTTTCATTTCCAGGTCATGAAGGCCACTGAACCAAAGCTACATCATCAGTGTGGGTAAATGCCATTGGAAACCTTGGTATCTTGGCTTAAATATTCTGTCTCATTTTCTGGACTCAAGTATTCCCCCAAATGCTAGTCTAACAAGTGCACATTTTCATTTATTTTCAATTATTCTACATTTTTAAAATGAAGGGTTTTATTTGTTCTATTACTTTTTCCCCAAAGAATTTTGTTATTTTCAGCACAAGTCCTGAGCAGAATGATTTAACCAGTTATTACCAAAACAAGAGTCACAATTTAACTTCTTGCCATACTGAAATTGGAGTTCATGTAGTGGATGTGGGACCCAAAGCCCTCCTAGTTCCACACTGTAACTGTGCCCTTCTTTCCTCAGCACCACTTTCTAAAATTGAGGAAAGAAATCACCTATATGCAGGTGCTTGTCTTGTGTCACTGGGGCAATCACCTGGGCCCATTCTACCTGTGGACACCCCACAGACATTTCCCCTTTACAGCCAATGTTGTGGCCAGGGCCAGCCCTAGTGGTTCTTGTTATGATTATAAGACACACTTCAGCAACAACCATTAGGGAACTTTGGGAAAAATAAACAGCTTTATTGCAGTCATCTCCTATTATCCACAGTTGTGCTTTACATGGTTTCTGTTATCCCTGTTCAAACACAGTCCAAAAATACTAAATGGAATATTCCAGAAGTAAACCATTCATGTTTTAAATTTTGCAATTTTCTAAGTAGTATGATGAATCTTGTACTCCCTCTGTATGCCCTGCCTGGGTGTGAACAATCTCTTTGTCCTGCATCTCCACACTGTATATACTGCCCCACTTGTGAGTCACTTAGTAGCCAACTAGGTTGTCAGATCTACTGTCCTAGTATCTGGGTGCTTGTGTTCCAGTCACCCTTGTAGTAGCCTCATGCTGTGTCACAATGTCTGTGGCATTCACCTCCCTACACCTCATCACATAGGCATTGTGACACCTTACAACAGCGCAGGAATTGATGCAGACCCTGGCCGGCAGGGCCCATGTGTTGTGGCTGTGATAAACAAATTCACACAGACTAAAGAAGTCCTGTAAAGAAAAGGGGACGGGATGATCACTCTCTCAGTGAGACATGACCTCAACCCCTGCCTGGACAAGCTTTTATTGCATTTCTGGGCACATTACATTGAGGGTGGTCTTCATTTACTATGCACAGGTTGGCTTTAGGTGGTTACCTTTTACAGAAAGCACATGGCTCACTGTGGCTGCACTGGCTGCATCTCAATCCTTTGTCTCTGAAAAAATTTCTTTCTGGTGATGGAATGCCTAGTCAGCTCATGCTTACAGCCAACAGGTGGTTGGAAAGATCCCTGTGGGGCTGCACATGGGACAGGGAAGGGAGTGGCAGTCAGGAGGTGCTGGAGAATGGACAGGTACAAGTGAGGTGAAATGAACCCAGAGAACCTATGATACCTCATCATGAATAAAACAAAAGGTAGACAGGGATGTCTTTGCTTGTATAGGCTTCGAGGAGTTCTGGGATGGAAAATGAGAACAAAAAGTTGTCACCCTGTCTTTTATGGCTGGTCACCCCTGGCTTCAGGAGAACTTGCCACCAGGACCTTTCTGTTCAAAAAAGAGAGACAGGCAAGCCTTGGACCTCTGTTGCTTATGATTTCTTTAATGCTCACAGCTGCCTTTGAGTAGCATGTATGATCTCTACTGTACAGAATGAGAAACTGAGGACCGAGGAATGAAGTAAATCAATTAAAGACAATGTCGTAGGAAGTGCTGAAGTCTGCACTTGAGCCCAAGTCTCTCCAATCCCATCACCTTCTTTCTGCTCTGCCTGCAGATGCTCTTACCACTGTCAGAGCATTCATGCTAATGTTGCACGAGGTTGCCTTATGCTTCACCAACTAGTCCCCAACTTCTTTCCCTCAGAGAGGCTGTAATGTTTCTGGTCAGGCCTAATCTGTGAGAGAGTTCTCATTTTCTGGTCTTCTTGATCTCTGAGTACACGCAGGTGCTGGTGGCCTCCTTGTCCTGACCCTCACACAGGTTCCCCCTCTGAAAACTGAGGTTGGCGTACTGGCTATCCTGCTCCTCTCCCAATGGAGAAGAATCCTCCATGGGTGATGCTTGGCCTGGGGGCCTGTCTGGCTGTGGATTTTGCTGGGAACCCTGAGTGAAGGGGAGAGAAGAGAGTCAGAGAAGAAGAAAATCAGACATGGTCTTGAGGGGAAAGTTCAGCTGATAGAACAGTTTTTATTCATCCTCTTATTCCACACACTCCACAGGAACTCAACTATTTGCTCATTCCTTTAAAATTTTGTAATGCTACAGTTGATTACACCACATCAAGGGCTTACTAATAACATTTTATCCTCACTGAAACCAAGTCTAAATGATACTCTTACTATTTCCATTTACAGATAGGAAAACTGAGATGAGGAGAGTTGAAGAAACATGCCCAGAATGGGTAGAAAGTAATAGTTCCGGAGAGACAGTTCTGGCAGGCTATACTGGGAAAGAGGTGAGGTGGGCTCAGTGGTCAGTAGTGCTGGGGCAGGAGGCTGACCCTGGGCTCTAGTTTAGGAAGGGGAAGTCAACTCCCAGCTGTCTGTCTAGCTGACCACAGAGGAGCGGGTTTGGGGAAATTCTGAGCAGCTCAGTCCATACTCATTGAAGGGACATGCCCAGCCCCTCCTCCTACACTGCATGAGAAGATACTCACATCACGCACCCAAGTGACTGTACCCATGACAGGGTCTTCATCATTCATGACCTTTTGTCTCCCACCTGTTTTTCTTCTTGTGGAATTTCACTCTAAGGGAAGATGTCAGGAGACACAATGGCTCAGGCACAGGTGCGCAGGCTGCTTCCACTTCCTGAGAAGATCACTGAGGCATCCAGATCCCAGAAACTAACTCAGAGACCTTCTGCGATGCAAGTGCTCTATCCTCTGGATGACCAGGTGTTTAGCCGAGACTAAACTTACATCACAATAGGTCCCTATACAAGGAGAAACTTCTACATAAGCAATCATACCAGTGTTATTCTAGAGAGCCCCAAAGTAGAAACAACTCAACTGTCCATCAATGAATGGGGAGACCAATAAAAAGTGCAGCATCCATGCCATGAAATATTATTTGAAATAAAAAGGAATAAAAAATGACACATGAACCTTGAAAATATCATTATGTGAAAAAAGAGTAAAAAAGGATCATTGTTGTAGGATCCTATTTATTTGAAACCTTCAGAATGGGCAAATCTAGAGACACAGGAAATAGATTAGTGTCTATCTGGGGCTGAGGCGAAGATGGTGGCAAAAATCACAAGTAAGGGATTTTTTAGTTCATTTTGTGCTAATGAAAATGATTTAAAATTAATTATGGTGATAAGTGCACAATTCTGTGACTGAACAAAAAGCCATTGAATTGTACATTTTAAATATATAAGAATTTACCCTGGCTGGTGTGGCTCAGTGAATTTAGCACCAGCCTATCAACTAAAGGAATGCCGGTTTGATTCCCAGCCAGGGAAAATACCTGGGGTGCAGGCCAGGTCCCCAGTAGTGGGTGCACGAGAGGCAACTACACATTGATGTTTCTCTGTCTGTCTCCCTACCTTCCCTTCTGTCTAAAAATAAATAAATAATATATTTTAAAAAATAAAATAAATACAAGAATTTTATCTCAATAAAGGTGCTACCCAATCTCTCTCAAAAAAGACCCCTCTTCCCCTGGCTGGTGTAGCTCAGCAGACTGAGCATGGGCTGCAAACCAAAGCGTAGCCAGTTTCATTCCCAGTCACGGCACATGTCAAGGTTGTGGGCCAGGTCCCCCCAGTGGGGGACACGTGAAGGACAATCACACATTGATATTTCTCGCCCTCTATTTCTACTTCCCTTCCCCTCTCTAAAAATAAATGAATAAAATCTTTAAAAATATGAAATATCAAAATAGGCCTGTCCATATGGACTTAGCTCCACCTTTGGATTTAGGGGCCTCTCTCTGTACCCTCTATGACACAGCTCTCTGTACCTCCCCAGGACACAGGCTTACATGCAAAAGGATATGAGACAGAAGCATAAGGACAGGAGCACCATGGCACCAGCACCTCCAAGAGCAGCGGGAACCACTCTGCACACATATACTGACTGTCCTGCAGAGAAGAGCCACGTGAGCCCATCCTCTCTCAGGACTCTGTCTTGTCTTCCCACATCTTTGCAGAACCC